GACTCGATATCCAAATCGGCGTGTTTGCGATGAGATAGTATTTTCCCGAATGGCGTCGAGCTTACGAACCAATGGTAGTTTTTGGCCTACGTTTCAACTGCAAGAAGACAAGAAAATATTAACCGCGTACTGGGATATATAGAAGGAAATGCTCATGCTGGCACAAAGGAATTATCCCGTGAGATGGCCATAGCTAAGTTCTAATGTCATCATCATGTCGGTTTGAATTAGGCCATTGGATGGTAGGCATGAATTCCGAATTTTTATTTCAAATTCTTTGGACAGATAAAGTCACCTTTAGTGACGGGAGAGTCAATCTGCACAATATGCATTATTGGTCTGCAGAAAACCCGCAATGGCATTTAATTTAAATGTGTGGTGTGGCATACTGGGAGGCAAAATTATTGGGCCACATTTTTTCGAGCAATCCCTAAATGCTATGTCTGTTTTGACTTTTTGGACAATCAATTACCGTTGTTGTTGGAAGATGTGCCAGTGGAAACACGACAAATCTTGTTTTTGCTGTTGGATGGTTGCCCAGCACATTTTACCATCATTGTGCGAGAGCATATTCAATATCGGAGGATTGGAAGAGAAAGCCTATTTCTATGGCCTTCCCGATCACCAGACTTAACTTGACTTGATGAAAACCTGATTCGTAATGCAATGCGTAACATACCGAGAGCCGAAATTAAAGCTCCAGTTTTGTCTACCCTTGAGAGGCTTCAGGAATGTATAGAGCGTGATGGTCAGCTTTTCGGGCATTTACTGGGGCATAAGAAACCTTTATTCCTTAAATCGGTCCTTTTTAGGGACACAACTTGATAATAAAAGAAATTCCGGAAAAATTACTTTCGAGAAATAAAAATTTAAGGGATTTACATATGAAATTTTCTTTGGTCTAAATTTTAGGTTAGGAACAAAATATCTAGATGCGGCTTCCGCGATCTTGTTTAGAAATCATTAAGTTAATTTTGCAAAAAAAAAATATACTAATGCAATTATTTTTTTTGAGAAAATAAACCACTTCTGTCGGTGTGTCAAAAAAGCTTTCTACCGGCGCTATGTGAAACTATCAAAACTTCAAATATTATAACGTTTGTAGCTCAAGAATAGCTCTTTTCAACTAGGTTTGTTAAAATCAGCTCAGCCGTTTCGAAGGTACAGGGTGTTTTTTACGGAACTCTTTGAATACCCCCGACCACTTTATTTTTAGGGATACAGCAAAAATTGTCAAACAAAAAAGGTTCAGATTACCCTCGAATTTGAAGATCAGATGTTTTTTTGTTAGAATAATATATATTTTCCAGATTTTTCTCTTGGTTGTTTTAGTAATAACTGTTTTTGCCGCAAGCCTCTACGATGGTTAGGCTCCCAAATAGAGTACCTCGCATTCTTAGCTGGCCACATGACATGACAGCAATTCTATTAGGTAGTCTTCAGAAATAGTGACGGCTTGGAGATACGTATTGCCTACCTTATACAAACATGTATGTTGTACGTTTTAAATGTCTTAAAAATGTGCTTTTCTTGTAATAGAATAGAAAAGTATATCAGATATCAATGTTTAAGAAATGTAGCCTCAAAATAAGGTTCCAGTCCTAATTTAATATTGTAACTGAATTCTGCAGTAAACCCATATACTAAGCTGTTTCTAACATCTATGGAACAAAGCTCAAAATACCATAATTATACTAACCTACTACGATATAAAACAAATATAATGCTAAATAAATAATAGTTTAAAAAAAGGTAGTTTCATATCTGCATTCATTTCGGGCCTGATGAAGCCAACCAGCAGAAATACGTATCGCTCGGGTTACCTATCATATTTTCTGTTCGAATCCACTTTCCTGTTTTTTGCGGATTTTGTCCATTATTTTCCTACTTTTTGTTATATACCTTTCTTCGTATGATCATTTTCTCTTTGTAGATCCTTTGGGCTTGAAGTACCACAGCAAGTGGCTATAACCGGCCACGTGGTTGTGGTTAGATGTATCCTTGAAAATTCGAGGTGTTCTAGCTATTTTATACTACAATGTGTAGGTTGGCTCTTGTTGTGGACTTCGTGTGTCGTTTTTCCCCCTCCAACTTCGTTTCCTCAGGTTACACCCGTATCCTGATGTGTGGACATGTGTATCTACTTTTGTAGTTTCATATGTGCATTCATTTCGGGCCTGATGAAGCCAACCATCAGAAATACGCATCGCTCGGGTTACCTATTCTATTTTCTGCTCGAATCCACTTTCCTGTTTTTGCGGATTTTGCCCATTATTTTCCTACTTTTTGTTATATACCTTTCTCCGCATGATCATTTTCTCTTTATTTATATATATATATATATATATATTCTACTTTTTAGTTTGGTAAGCTATAAAAGAACGTTTATTTTATTTTTTTAACTATTATTTATTTTTCATTTTTTAGATCGATTAATCAATTAGTTTTTGTGGATATGTGGTATTGAAATGTATTACGAACATTTCGTAACCTAGTCGTTTCATTTAAAGCTTCACTGTTGCATGTGGTTTTTCCTGTTAACTTAGAGCAATCAAGTTCTTCCGAATACCGCCCAATATAAAGAGCTACCAGCACAATCTGTAAACATAGTCTATCCCGTTTAATAACAGGTTTTTTGTGATTTGTCAGTGGTTATGCGCATATGAAAATAGTGGAGTGAGTTTCCAATGCATGAGTAAACTAGGTTATTTCATTGTGTGCAGTTATTATGCACAAAAATTGATTGGCAATATCCTAAATAATGGAAAATTCATGTATTCACTGCCATTTGGCGTTTAGCCGTCTGAAATCCAGCATTTCTTGTGATGGTTTTTGCCAGCATAGCTACCACATTTCCTGTGTTGGAGTCGTGAGTGAGGTTCTAAAGGTGATTAAAACGCCTGGACTTTTTTGGTACTGTGTGGAATGCACTGAACGCAAAAAGAATTATGAAGAATGGTATAAAACTAATTTTGAAGAAAGGGTCAACAAACTGGTTACTAATGTATTTGATTTATTTTCTGAGGCACAATCTAAGTTAATGGTTAAAGTTGAAGAAAACCTGGAATCCAGTGTTGATTGTCGTGTCGCTTCTGGGCAGTCACTTAGTTATGCAAACGCTGTGAGAAATAATATTGTCAATGTCTTGGTGAAACCAAAAAATGCAGGTCAATCTAACACTGAAACCAAACTGAAAATACATCAGGCTGTTAATCCAGTCGACAGCAGCATCAGATTTTCACAAGTGAAGCATGTCAAAGATGGTGGTTTGTTAATGAAGTGTAACAGTTTTACTGATGCTGAAAAACTCATGAGTTTAGCGTCCCAGCATCTCTCAGATGAATAACAAACCTAGATTAAAAATCGTGGGCATTTCTGAAAGCATGTCGCTAGACGAATTGCACTCTAATTTGATTGCGCAGAACATTGTACTTAATAACTCCAGTGAATGTAAAGTGTTAAAACTATGGCTTACTAAGAAATCACCCGGAGTTTTTCAAGCTATAGTTGATGTTGATAACACTACGTATTTAAAGTTATTGGAACGGGGACATGTTCTTGTAAATTTTGATAGTTGTAAAGTATAAGAGGCTGTGGATTTAAAGGTTTGTTTTAAATGTTGTGGTTTAAACCATTATGCAAAATTTTGTAAAAGTGATAGGCAAGTATGTGTAAAGTGTTCTCAACGTCATATGATCTCTGAATGGTCGGAACAGGTATTGAAGTGTAACAACTGTCTCAATGCTAGATATCCTGATGTACATCATGCTGCGTGGGACTCCAGTAAATGTAAGTTTTATAAGGATAAACTAAGAGTATAAGAAAATTTTGCTTGGTAATGAGTAGCAATCACTGCTGTACTCGGACATCTCAAATGTAGCTCCTAAAATCGTCACGGATAAACCCAACATAGCCCAGAATGCTCATGCCTTAAGTATATATTATCAGAATGTGAGAGGTCTCAGGACTAAAACTGTTACACTTCTTAATGCTTCCTATTCTTGTGCGTATGATATCATTGCACTCTGAAACTTGGGCTAATGCCTCTATACATGACTCTGAACTAGTAGAGAGAAAACTACACCTTGTACAGGTCAGACAGGAATTATGATGCACTGGGCGTTAACAGAGGCGGAGGTGTACTAGTAGCAGTTCATAATTCATTCAAAGTCAGTAAAATCGACTTGATACGCAGTGTATCATCTGTCGATATTGTTACTATTAATATTAACAGATTGGGGCGTACCGCTATTATCATACTCGTATATATTCCTCCAAATCTGTCTGCAGACATTTATGAGTCAGTTTTTGGTGATATTCTGGCAGTTGATTATTTTAATTCTGATAATGAATTAGTCCTCTTAGGTGATTTTAATATACCAAGTTATGTTGACTATATGGACAACAACCTTGTCAACAACAATCAAATTTTGGCTGTGCAAAAGTTTGCAAACCTTTTGAATCTGAAGCAATACTCTCGTATCCGAAATGAACATAATCGTGTCTTAGATTTGGTATTCAGTAGAACCGATATAGAGGTAAATAAAGCACTTGACATCTTGTTGCCCATTGACAGTCACCATCCGCCTTTGGAACTAATTCTCTCATTTCATACCTCTTCCTGTAGACTTGAGGTTAATAATATTCCTTCCTATAATTTTAAAAAATGTAATATTCTTGCTTTGTACAATGATATCTTTGATGCAGATTTTTCGTCCCTTTATGGACTAAAAGATGTTGATCTTGCTTGTGACAGTTTTTACCAAATTCTGCACTTTCTGTTTGATATTCATATACCAGTAACAACGCCGAGAGATATCAATTATCCTCCCTGGTTCTCCCGCTCAATAATTGCCAAGATTGAAAGAAAACGGAGATTATGGAAGCGTTGTAAACGAACATGCAATCCACATGATATTGATGCATTCAAAGAGCTTCGAAGGAGTATCAAGATTGAGCTGGATCGTGCATTTCATAGATATACCTCCAATGTTGAACAGAATATTTCTGGTCATATGTTAACAGAGCTAGAAGTGTCACCGGTGTACCTAGTCATATGTTTTTGGATGACGTTGATCTGAATTCACCACCTGATATTGTCAATGCTTTCGCTAAACTCTTTCAGTCTAATTTCATAACCTCTGGCAGGGGTGACACTGTCTCTGGTGTGTCTTGTAATGGTCAGTTATGCGACTCACCTAAAATCACAGTAGATCAGGTCAACCATGCTTTATCTACACTTAGATCCAAATGCTCTACTGGTCCGGATTCAAAACATTCTTTTTTACTTAAAGATTGTTGTCATGTGCTCGCTGAGCCTCCCACTTTTCTATTTAATTTATCTTTGGAACAGAGATGTTATCCTAAGGTTTGGAAAAAATCTCGCATTACTCCTGTTTTCAAAAAAGGTGACTGAAATAATATTGAAAACTATAGAGCTATTGTGATCCTAAGTAATATTGCTAAAGTATTCGAATCTGTTCTTCACGAAATCATATTCACTCATATGAAACACATCATCACTCCACATCAGCATGGCTTTTTTCCTGGTAGATCGACTACATCTAATCTTGCATGTTTCAAACAGCATGCTGCTGAAATTTTAGATACTTGCGGACAGATTGACGTTATTTATACGGATTTCTCAAAAGCATTTGACAGACTTGATCATGGAGTACTAATACAGAAGCTTTTAAGATGTGGTATATCACTTGGATTCGCAAATTCCCTCAGATCTTATCTGTTGGACAAAATACTTTTCGTTGAGTACCGTGGTTTTAGGTATGTCAGTGTTTCTGCGACATCTGGGGTGCCCCAGGGCTCCGTCCTAGGTCCGCTATTATTCGCTATATTTGTGAATGATCTCAGTGGCCAACTAAATTGTTGCAACTTATTGTACGCAGACGACTTGAAATTATTTTCTAGAATTGACACAATTTTCGATTGTGTGAAGCTTCAGGATGAACTAGTACGTCTGTATGAGTGGTGTTACCTGAATCAGCTGTATCTGAATATTACAAAATGCCAGACTAGTCTTTCACACGTAAGCAGAATATAATTGGTTATGCTTATCACATAAATGGTCAAGTCTTGGATGGTTGTTCCATTCTGAGGGATCTAGGTGTTTCTTTCGACCCACAGTTAACTTTTGTGCAACACATTACTGAAATTGTAACCGGTGCGCACAAGACGATGGGTTTCATACTTAGGTGTGGCAAGAGCTTCAATAATGCTAAAACTCTTTTATTGTTATTCAATGCGCTTGTTAGATGTAAGCTCGAATACTGTAGTATAATTTGGTACCCTGCATATGATGTACATTCGGACAGCATTGAAAAGATCCAGCGACGTTTTGCTAAATATTTATGGTTCAAGGAGGATGGGATTTATCCTGAGGCTGGATTTCGCAATGACTTATTGCTCAGTAGATTTAATATGGTAAATTTATCTAAGCGCAGAAATTACTGCGCTGTGGTTTTCTTATATAAAATTTTGAACAACACAGTTGATTGCCAGTTTCTTTTAGAAAAGCTGTCATTACACGTACCGTACCGAAACATAAGGTTTAACAATACCAATTTCTATTTACCTGTGCCTCGTACCAATGTGTTACTTTTTTCGCCATTATATGTAATGTGTAACAACTATGAAAAAGTAAAGAATTTAGTAGACGTTTTTCATTGCACTATATCACTTTTAAAAATGTCGTTTTTGACTGTAGGTCAAGAACTTATTTAGATGTAATGTGTGTAATGTACTTGATACGTTGTTTATTGATTTTTTTTCTTTTTTTTTGTATTTTGTATATTTCCTGTTCATTAAATGGAATCATCTGTTCGAGCAGTGTACTAACCGCAAATAAATAAATAAACAAGATCTTACACGACTAAGTGCTACATAAGCCTGTCCAGCAGCAAACAGTCGCGAGCCTAAATAAGTGACTGCATGATCGACTGTACAACCTTGCATCTTGTGGACGGTCGAAGCGCAACTTAGGATTAATGGCAACATTCGCAATGAACAGGGTGAGAATGCACTACCTTGAAAAAGTATCTGCCTCCGTGGTGTTGTGCCAAGTGCTCGAACCAAAAGAGAGTAAGTCCAAAACTGCACGCATGCGCAGATCGCGAGCTAGCTCTATCTCTTTTACTCCCCTACAGAGGATCTATAAAAGAATTTATCAATCCTGGCAGTCCTAATAAGGAGAATGGAAATCTGTCATCAAATTATTGCATTGTCGTCGGTCCTTGATACGTGTGCGAAGTTTCTGGTTAATAAAACTTTTGGAAATTCGTGAAAATTATGCTCAAAGATTCCGTACATACATACAGTCGGACTGCAGTAAATGAGTAGAATGAAGATTTACCCTGACACCTCATTAATCAAAATCCGTCAAGCCGTTCAAGCTGAAGCGTGAGAAATGGGAATTTCAAGATTGACCTTTTCTATTTAAATTCGCCTTTTTGTTTTTATAAAAAGTTAATATTGCCAACATCACCCGCACTGCCAAGATCAGTCAAACAAGAGTCATACGTCAAAATCCATCAAGCCGTAGGCCGTGAAATAGAGTGTATTTTAAGGAAGGCACACTAGAATGTCCCGAATTTTTCGGCTCTCAATAAGTATTTTTGGATACTTCTAGCTATAAGCAGTAGTATTCACTCGTTCCCATAGGGGCCAGAAAAAAGCCTATTTGTAACATTTTCCATTCTTGATAAACGACATACGGATTGCCGTATTCTGTTGAGAAACTGTGGCAGAACCCATTTTCTATGCGTGACTGCTTCCACTAGTCGTCATCCTGGCCAAATAAATTCAGCAGCATCCTCGGTGCTGTTGTGTTGCGCTTCAACGCTAATTTGAGTTCAGGTGATAGCGGAAAGTGCGGCGGAAACACCGAACTTGCAACATCATTGCAAACTTGCATCGCCGCGCCGAATGCCTCGCATTTTGTACATATTATAACCGAACTTTGCCGGCTAACGGCCTCGGTTAGTGCAGTTTAGAATGTAGTCTGGACAGTAATAGTTAATTTTCTAACATATGCGAGTATGTTGCTGCTCTGATAACTTCCAGTGAACCCAGAGGTCTTCGAAATTAGTTGAGGACGCAAACATTATAGCAATAATAGGGAGAATTCAAGCAATATCGACATGAACAGAAGCTGTCATTTCGTAGAATTTGATCGTACCCTTGTGTATTTATTTGATCTTGAGAATAGTGAATTATTGGCAAGACCTGCATACCTGAGAGAAAAGGTCATATTTAATCGAGAAATTCATGGCAGGATTACCAGGGACCGTATTATGGTCAGGATACCTCCACACTCTATGACACTCTTCAAGCGTTGTTTCTCGTATAATGCTGCCGTATTTTACAATGCTTTGCCCAGAAAGTACAGGGAAATGTCTTTTGCTAGTTTTCGAAGGCAAATCAAGCAATTTATGCTCACTCTTCCCTGATATTGATATAACTGATTTTCTGGGCCGTTTAGGCATACGTGTACATAGTGTATATAGTTGTAGTGTACTTTAGTTTAGTTGATTAGTTATTTAACCTTTCTGTATTCCTTAGTGTTCAAATCAAATACCAAAGTTCTTAAAAAATAGTTGAAAGTCACTTGTCATAAAAATTCTTCGAAGACAATGGACTTTTGAGTTGGATATGTCTATGACAGGACCTTAAATCGCTGTACAAGTAGCAAGAAAAAGTTACCACATCGAGTTTTCATATTCTTTGAATTTATTAAAACTTAATTACTGTTAAAGTGCAACATAAACTCCGAAAGACGCTCTCTCAATTTTACAGTGTTGGATAATCTCGGTTTCTGAGAGGATTTTTGAAGTTCGGATTAATAACAGTTACAGTGTAGCGAGTAATATGAGGCATGCAAGATGTATGGGGATAATAAAGAAAAACTTTATTAAAAAACTCCATTCTTTCCTGCTGGAAAGAGTTTATTGCTCAGAAGCATATAACTGTCAGAGGAAGAATAAAATTTCTTAAAAATACGGCAACCTTAAAAAGGAAGTTTGTTAATTTAGATCCTCGGAATTATAAGTGCACTGTGTAATAGGGCACTTCTGAAATTTATGACCAGAACCATTAAAATGCTTAACACCCAGGGTTTTATGATTGAAACTAGTGATTTGAGACATCTGCTTATATATGTTAACTATTCCGATTATGAACGAAATGTAGATTGTAAGCTAATTTTCCGGTGACTCTCTACTAAGTTCTCTGATAATTTCAAAGGGTATATAGCGAAATATAGCCAAGAAAAAAAAAGCTTTGGTTGTTATGTTTGAATACTGCGTCGTCCACTATTCTTCCGAATTACCGGTTGCACTCTCACCAAGATTGAAAATCAGCAATCGGAGTGCTCTGAAAACAATACTATTTATTATGTGACAAACTAAAAAAAAAATAATTTATTTGGGAGAGATTGAGATCTTCGAGTTGGTCTAGATTTACTAATTTTTCCTGCTTACTGAAATTATACTGATTTCTTAAAATTTCTAACAATGAGCCTAACTTAAAAGGTATTCTGAGCATATTAGAGAGCTTTTAGAGACCTTATTTTGCTGCTTCTTTATGATTCTGAGTTTGCAGAGTGACAAGACGAGTCTTCGTACTGCGTTATCAAAATAAGAAGTTTCGGGGAATAAGGAAGTGCTTAGTTCGTAGGCTTATTTTTTTTATTCAGCGCTGTTGTCAAAATTCGTGAAGGCGGAAAAGTTGCTGTTAGCTGGACTAAATTATTTTTACAGACCGCATCTCAGTATGTGTGCATATCCAACACTAATCTTGACATGTCCGTCAAATCAATGTACTGACAACACAGTAAGGGTACCTGAGGGCTCTATTTTGGGACCACTTTTATTCATTATATGATAAAGAATTTGAAATAGTGATCTGAAGGTAGACGCAATTTTCATGCGGATGAGGCGTTCATTGTTATATCGAACCAGTGCGACACTTCATTAAGACGAAAATGTAAAGCCTTACTTCAGGCTATTCATCTTTAGGTTGGCAGTACCCAACTGCATTTGAATCCAAAATAACCATGTCTTGTGAGATTCGATAAAGTTCAGAAGAAAGTAATTATCGTTAATGTAAATGTCTCACCAATATCTTTGAGACACAAGTAAAGTTTCTGGGATTGTAACTTGACGCAAGCCTTAATTTTAAGTACAATTGCATCTGGTCTCAAAAATAAACTATATGCTATCTGGAATATAAAAACAGTATTTTCGTAGGAGTCAATTAGTTGCTATTTACTAAGCTCAAATTGACTCCAGATATGCTTTGTGTTTCTGAGGTTTGATAACCAACTGTCAGCGGGTATTGTTGAGGCAAAGAAGAGCAAGTAGATGTTTGGTTTTAGTTAACCGTTTATATTCTTAAAGATATTTTCAGAAGATTTAAGATTTTAATTAAGTAATTCTATACAACGGTGCAGTATGATGTCGCATTCATGTATTGGGTCAATGCACATTGGCTATGGTTGGCGAACGTTGGAACTGAATTACTTTGATTTCTATAACCAACGGGTGATACTAGGCCAACGCTACGTAGATAAGCAACTCGATATAAAGTGACAAAAATGTAGGTCAAACTGGTCTGCGATATGAGGATGTATAGATATGTTCTTGGTGTAGCTTTATTATATGTACAGGGTGTTCATTTGAATACTTGCCACCACGGGTTTATCGGAAAAAGGAAAAACGTCGAGACACGTCTAAAGATCTATCAAGGGGGACAACCTTTGAACCAAAAACTACTTCACCCCCTTTCACCTTTTGTTCCCCTGGGTCATCTCCTTAAATGTTTTAAATACCAAGGGGTATCGGGTAATAGATTGTTTGAAATGTCTTTCTAATCCTTTATTTTGGCGTTTGATTTTTTAAAATCGGTCGTCTCGTTTTCAAGTAAATTTGAAAAATCTCTATTTATCTTAATTTGTTAAAAATAAGTGTTCAAAATGTTGCCGGCTATTGGCCAAACAATGATATAGGTAATGTTCAAATTCCTGACGGACATTTTCAAGAACATGTTGTGGGATACCACGGCAGCTTTCGATGATGTGTTGACGAAGTTCATCCAAACTTTCAGGTAGGAGAGTAAACATAGATTTCAAATGGCCCCGTAGAAAAAAGTCTGATGGCGTGAAACCAGGAGATTTGGCAGGCAACTAACTCTACAGGCCCTCTCCGCCCTATCCATTTATCTGGAAACTCGTAGTCTAGCCATTGCCGAACCGGAAGAACTTAGTGAGGAGGAGCGCCGCCTTGCTGAAAATATTATTTTAGCCTCATCACGTATAGAGTTTCCATTATCTTTGATTTGGCTTTCGATGGTTTCAGTTATAAGGGGATTGATGGTATTTTCCAACACATATCCAAATAAATGTCTCCATTCCAATTTTCATTTATAAACAATAGCCCAATTACGTTCCATCAATTTTTTGGAGGTACTGGGTATGCCCTTCTACAAAAGCATGAGAATTTTCATTGCTCCAATACCTACAGTTATGCTTATTAACAGATCCATTTAGATAAAATGTGCATTCATCACTGAAGCAGATATTCTCTACATAATGGTATTATTATCAAACGCTGCAGTTATTTGTTTCAAAACTCAACTCGCCTATCGGAATCATCTTCGGTCAACTCTTGCAATATTTTCATTTTGAATGGATGATGTTTTAGTAACTGTGTGTACAGTACCTAATGAAATATCAATCGCAGCAGCAATTTTGCATAATGAAGTATTAGGATTTATTCCCAAATAACCCAAAGCTTCACCTTGAGCGGTTTCATCCAAATCTCTCCGATGATCGCGTTTTTTATTTGCATTTATCTTAAGTAAATGTAGTAAGAAGGTGCAAAACATACCTAGGCGAAGTTATCTTCCCCAGATTTCTGGTGTTAAATGTGACGGCAGTTTGCCCAGCACATTGATCTTGGGCATCATAAATTAGAATCATTTACATTATTTCGGCCTGTGTGTAAACCATTTTGGAAGTA